CAGGGCTTTTCTCCATCCCTTCATCCCCCTGTATTTGTGCTTGGGGTTTCCCCGACTGCGATGCAGGACCTTGCCCTTGGCCTTGTTGAACCTCATGAGGTTCTCACAGGCTCATGTCTCCAGCTTGTCCAGGTCCCTCTGGATGACATCCCGTCTTTCTGGTGTGTCAAGCACACGGCTCAGCTTGGTGTCATCTGCAAACTTGCTGAGGATGCACTTGATCCCATTGTCTGTGTCATTGATGAAGATATTAAACAGTATGTGTGCCAGTAAGGACCCCGAGGGACACTACTCATCACTGGTTTCCACTTGGAAATTGAGCCATTGACTGTAACTCTTTGGACACAGATGTCCAGGCAATTCCTTATCCACCGAACAGCCCATTCATCAAACCTCTGTCTCTCCAGCTTACAGTGAAGAGTGTTGTGGTGGTCCAGGTGAACAGCAGGCTGGACATGAGTGAGCAGTGAAGGTTCACTGCGTGCTGGGCTGTATCAACAGGAGCGTAGCCAGCAGATCAGGGAAAGATATTATTCCCCTTTACTCGGCACTGGTTAGACCACATCTTGAATGCCATGTCCAGTTTTGGGCTCCCCAGTGCCAGATAAGTTCTGGGAAGTTTGAGCGAGTTCAGAAGAAGATCACTGAAGTTGTTGGGGGCTGGAGTACGTGATGTGCAAGCTGAAGCTGAGGGAAGTGGACTTGTTCGGGCCTTGAAAGGAGAAGACTTCAGGAGGACCTTCCAACTGGAACGATTTTGTGATTCTGTAGCTGGTAAGGAGCTCCATAAAGACGTACGTGGCCTTTCACTGTTTTGTTTTGCAGAGTCTCACCAAGTCCTTGCTCAGCTGTTGGACACCCTGCTGGTGATCGGCACAAAGCTCACAGAGAATCCAGCTGTCAGGATGAGACTGGTGGAAGTGGCCTGCAAGGTAAGGCGGCCTCCCTGGGGCGGGAGATGATGCTGAAGGGCAACGCTCTGCTTTTGTGTGCTGAATCTGGATTCGGTCTCTGGGGAGAGAGCTCGGAGTGCTGAGCTGACAACAAGAGCAACTTGAAACTGAACGTAGCACAGTGAGCACAGCACTGAACCTAGTGAAGGAGTCTAAGTGACAGTGCTGGCAGTGAGGCATCTTGGCTGCTTTTTTAGTTATTGTCTCTTTCTCTGTATGCTGTGTAAGCATTTCTGTTTTGCAGATGATTTTTACAAACCCAGCTGAGAATGTTGCGTGATAAACAGCTTATTTTATTAACTGAAAACCATCTCTTGGGGGAGGGGAAAAGCAAAAAGACCTGGAGGTGTTGGTTGACAGCCGGCTGACCATGAGCCAGCAGTGTGCCCAGGTGGCCAAGAAGGCCAACAGCATCCTGGCTTGGATTAGGAATGGTGTGGCCAGCAGGAGTAGGGAGGGGATCGTGCCCCTGGACTCGGCACTGGGGAGGCCGCACCTCAAGTAACGTGTTCAGTTTTGGGCCCCTCACTATAAGGAGGATATTGAGGTGCTGGAGCGTGTCCAGAGAAGGGCAACAAGGCTGGTGAGGGGTCTGGAGAACAAGTCTGATGAGGAAACTGGTGCTGTTCAGTCTGAAGAAGAGGAGGCTGAGGGGGGACCTTATTGCTCTCTACAGCTACCTGAAAGGAGGTTGTAGTGAGGCAGGTCTTGGTCTCTTCTCACAGGTAACCAGCGATAGGATGAGAGGCAATGGCCTCAAGTTGCGTCAGGGGAGGTTTAGATTGGATCTTCGGAAAAATTTCTTTACTGAAAAAGTGGTCAGGCCTTGGACCGGGCTGCTCAGGGCAGTAGTGGAGTCCCCATCCCTGAAGGTGTTCAAAAAACGTGTGGATGTGGCCCTTGGGGACATGGTTTAGCAGGCAGGGTGGTCTTGGGTGGATAGTTGGACTTGATGATCTTAGAGGTCTTTTCCAGCTACTGACTGTGTGATTCTACCTATTTCAGCTTTCATCACTGCTGCAGGAAAAATAATGTGTAGTCAGTATTTAAATTATTTTATTTTTTCTCAATAAACTGTTACAAAACTAACACTTTTTTAAACTGTCTTAGTATGATTAGTTGTTTCAAGGGGTGAAAGAACACTCAAAATCCAGGTACATCTCTTCTTCTCTTCCGTTCCACAGCATCTGACAGATTCTTCCCACGGTGTGAGAAATAAGTGTCTGCAGTTAATTGGCTGTCTTGGACCAGTGGAAAAAGGTGTTGCAAAAGAAGCTGAAAGCCAGGCTGCCAAAGACGTCCAGAAGATAATAGGAGATCATTTTAATGACCAGGATCCTCGTGTTAGGACAGCAGCTATAAAAGCCATGGTAAATATTGCTGGTACAGTGGAATAAATTGTTTGGGGTTATATAAGGAAGCTGGTAAGGTTCCAAAAGAGGTTTGGGGTAGAGGTGATTTGGCTTTGAGAAAGTCCATTTAGCATATCAAAATTACCTGCAAAAATAAGCTAGATTGCAAAATACGAGAGTAATGTGAGAGCTCAAATGGCATTTTAGTGAATCATAACACTAAATTCATATCTGTTTCAGCTATAGCTGAAGAAGCTTTTTATTTGTTGATTTTATGAGTGTGTGTAAGCTCTTACTTGTAATGAGAAATCTGTATATCTCAGTTCAACATGGGTTACTGCAATCACAATGCACCACTAGTACTCCAACACACAATAAATAGCTGCTTATGACAAGAAACTTGTGTGGTAAGTCCAAGAAAGAAGTTTGTTTGTTTGAAACGTTTATGTTTTGCCCCAGGGTCACACTCACTCGCATTCTGTAACTGTTTATGAGGTTAACTGGTTTTGATGTGGGCTGGGGTGTTGGGGACCCTGCAGAAGTTTTTAGCTTGGCAGAAAAGCAAGCAAAGGCCGTGCACTTCAGAATTTTGCTGAACGTCAGTTGCCTGTGAGTATGTGGGTATAGAGAAGCTTCTCCATTACCCTTAAAGTTTGTAGCAGTGTCCCATCGGACGTGATGGTCAGCAAGGGTGCTTGAATTAATGATACAGAACTGAAGAAAAGTGGGGTGGGTTGGAGGAGGTCAGATTGCACGCTCACATCTGTCTGGGATCTCCCTCTGCTGGAGGTTGCACTCGTCCTTCATTTTCGTTCCAATCTGGAGGTTTTGGTACAGTTGTTTGTTTTTTTTTTTTTTAAAGTCATTTGAGTGAGTTCTACATTGGCATTTAGTGAAATCCATAGCAAGATTTATGACCTTGAATTTATAATTACAACAAAGTCAACTGCCTTTCTGTAGTTCAAAGCATGGAAACGCACCAAGTGAGTTCAGGGTCACTAAACGCTGCTGGGGTTCTTGATCATCGTTTTCCTTGCTGTGTAGGTGTCTTTGGTGTATTTTTGGTTTGTTTTGAATTTTGTCACTGGCACGCATTACTTTTGAAGAGGTGGATATAGAAATGCAACTGTTTCCTTCCTTGGTGACAGCTTTCAACCAGATATTATCCCTTGGTTTACAAGTCACATTCATGATACTGCTTCATTCCAGATAGAAAAGTGTTTAGCTGGACGGTTTTTGCTGTTTGTGGTTTGGTAACTGAAAAGATTTACAGGGCATGAAAATTCATTAGCAGTGCTACTTTTGGGTCCATGGTGCAGGAGTGGTAGGAAACTAATTAGTTTGAAGATACCTACATCTGTTGTAATTGTGGTTGAATATGGGTAACACTAAACAATTGTTTGAAGGTTGGGAGAATGGACAGATGATGTATTTATGTAAATCAAATTTTCCTAATCAATCGAAGTATGAATGGCTGTGAAATTTAAAAAAATTATCCCAAAGTGAAGGTTATTATTTAAAATACTTACGGCCAGGATAATGAAATATTTTAATTCTAGCAGCAATCGAGAAATGTAAGCGACTAAGTTTACTCAAAGCAAAAAAAATGTTGGTGAAAACTTAGTCTGTGTCGCTTAAACCTATAGTTATACTTTCTTGTGGTTTTTTTTTTTTCCCCTGTAGCTGCAGCTTCATGAAAGAGGATTAAAATTACAGCAGGCTATTTACAGTCAGGTAAAACCTTGTAATAACTTGTATTTATTTTGTACTTGTTTGCATATCTTGCTTTTTAGATCTGTGACAGTGTGCTTTGAGAGGAGGGAGGCACTGAACAGAGGTGGAGTGTTTTGCACTTAGGTTGCTTGCAGTCTTTATTGTCCTAAGACAGTGGAAACAAAAATCTGGTTTGCATCTCGTTGTGCTTAAATGCACTAAGGCCTATGCTTTGATCAGAATATATTGTTTATTGGGGGAGATAATCATGGGAGGGGCAAGGCATTATGTAATTATTACTGTCATCTGGCAGTCTCCAGGTCTTAAACCCTTGTTTATCGGAGAGTAGACATTAAGTCTGTAATTGTTGTGCCGGAAAGTGTGTGCAGCTGAAGCCTGTGTTGAATTAGTTCTAGTGCAGATTCACATTTCGTGCTTGCTGCGTAGTACAGCCAATTCTGGAGGTTTGCAGTGTGTTCCTGGTTGACTTCGTTAGGACTAGTCTAACTAATCAAACTTGGAAATACTTAGGAGTGGAGGGGAAGACTGAATTTTATAATCTATGCTAATTGATTCATGGTAAGGATACTAATTGCACTGTGGGAAGAGAACGACAGCTGGGGTGGAGATATTTCGGGTGTACTGGACTGTGAATCTGCTTTCAGGCCTGCAAGCTGTTGGCAGATGACTACGAGCAAGTGCGCAGTGCTGGTACGGGCTGTGTGCAAAGTGACTCAAAGTGTTGGTGTGGTAATCACCCTAATCCCGAGAGTTGTGTGCCAGTAAGGCTCGGGAGTAGCTGTTAGAAAACTGATGGTGTTCAAATTGCTGATACCTGGTAAGAGTGCATGGATCCGATGCAGTTTCTGTTCCTGACACTTGTTGCATGTCCGTAGGAATTCAGCATGGTTGTTGCTTGTTTGATGCCATCCAGCATGGCAAAAGGTCACCGTACTGATTTGTGTTTCTCTATCTTAGCATCGTCCCGATTCCTTCTTCTAATGAAGAAATTCGCTTGGTTGATGATGCATTTGGAAAAATCTGTCATATGGTTAGCGATGGTTCCTGGGTTGTTAGAGTGCAAGCTGCCAAGTTATTGGTAAGTTATTCTCTGTCTGAAAATAGTTCATCTGATGTTACTTTACTTTTCATGAATATTTGAAAAGAAGTGGGAGGATGTTGAATAACTGTGTAGGTAAATTTCTACCAAAATTCTGAGAAGAAAGAAATGAGAGAGGCTGAGGAAAGCCAGAAGTTTCTCAGCTGAACTCTGCGGTGATTCTGTCCTTGAGAGTAGAGGCTTGGGTATCCAAGAAAAAAAACAAACAAGTAATTCCCTTCCCCTACTTCTCCAGCACAGGACCTGTTAACCAGCAGAACTCAAGAAAGACCGTGTCAGCCACAGTGGGAAAATAAGATATTCTCACCATCTTAAGTAAAATTGCTTAGACTCTGGCGTACAGTAGTGTCAAGCCTTGTATAAAGCTGTTAGAATGAGTAGAGAAGACTGAATGCTGTGTTGGGCTAAGTCAGGAAATTATATGGTGTTTCTTCCTTCTGATATCTATTTTTCTTTAGGGTTCTATGCAACAAGTTAGCTCCCACTTCTTAGAGCAGACCCTTGACAAGAAGCTCATGTCAGATCTGAGGGTACGTAAACGTTTGGGTTTGTGTTTACCGTGTGTAGCATACTAAAATTGCACAACAGGTATGTCAGTGTTGAGTGTGTTTGTTTACCATGTCCTTGCCTCAGGGCTGCTGAGAGTTAATTGCTGATGACAGGTTTTCTTTTAGATTAAAGTCAGTGAAGCAATTGCTAGTTTTAGATTTCATTAGCCGAGCGTGTAATAAACAGCTCTTGGCTATTCAGGTTTCGCAGATGAGAGGTGAGTGTTTGTACTCTTCTGACAGACTTTTGGCTGAAAGCTTTTTTTATTGTGTGTGGAAAGATTGCATCCTAGTTTTAGGAGCACGCTTATGGAAAATTCCTGCAAGATCCACCCAGTAGACCTAGACATTTCAATAGATGCGAGTTGCTAGAGGCTGGGACCCCTGAGCCCTACGAGCAAAACTTTTCAGTTAAATTCCTCTCTTAAGCAACTCGCTTGAGTTATGCGTTCTGTTTTTCTATCTACAAAAAAAATGATGAAGCTTGAGCTGCTAGATTTTGTGGGCTGCTTTGTAAAGTCCAGTAAAGTGCTGCACAGCCTTCTTCACAGTGTAGGGGGGGAAAGGAGAGGGACCGGCACGCATGCTGTATGAATATCGCATTTTACACATTGCTGAACACGGTGTAGCGTCGATAGTCATTAAAGTATTTAATTGCAGTTTAACAAGTTGAACTGCAAAGTGATAGCATCTGTTTTTGCAGATCAGTTATTGGATGCTTAACTGGACAGGCCTATGCTGTCACCCAGTTTGGCTGTTCTGATAATGGGTGTCTAAGAATATGTTAATTAATGTATTAATTAGTTAATCTTTCCCAGTATCAGAAATACAAAGAGTTACTGGCAATTAGAAATACTCATAGAAGAGAAGATATTATTTGCTTTTCTTAGCATGTGCCTGTGCCTGTCAATGCCTAAGCCTCTCGCTACACCTATTTTCAAATCCAATAAAGCTGTTTAATATTTTGTTGAGTCATCTTTGAAGTTTACCGTGGTTGTAACTGAAAAACTTGTTTGGACAGAGGAAACGCACTGCGCACGAACGAGCCAAAGAGCTCTACAGCTCTGGGGAGTTTTCGAGTGGCAGAAAGTGGGGAGATGATGCCCCCAAAGAAGAAATTGATACGGGTGCTGTAAACTTGATTGAATCGGGAGCCTGTGGGGCATTTGTTCATGGCCTGGAAGATGAGATGTATGGTAAGTGTTAACTTACTGGGGAATGACTAAAGGAGGAGATGTGTGCTGGCTAAGAAGCTTTGATTTTGGGGTTTTTTTTGGTCAAAATAGGTCACTTGGCTGTTGTGCTTGGGTTTATTTTAATGAATTGTGGACTTCAGGGTGGGCGGGGGGTTATTCCGGTTGTTTCAAAGATGCTACAGTGTTGTACAGGATTTTGGGTAGAAATGTTCCATTGAGTAGCCCAAACCAAACAGCTTTCTGTGAGCGGTGAAGTTTTAGTAAAAAATCGCTAAGAAGTGGTTGCTTATGTTATGCAGAAACCCGCTGGGATGATTTTTTTTTAATGTAATTTAACAGTTGCATGTGACTCTAAATTGGCAGCATTAGTTGCTACTGTTTGAAAGTAGTGTTTTCTCTGCAGGAGGGAAAACTGAAATTTATAGAACTTGTTGTTTAAAACATGGCACTAGAAGGAACCTGTGTCTGTGGAGCCCAGTAATCATTCATTTTGTAAACATAGCAGCTTCCATCCTTACGAAGGTTAGAACTAGCGGAGACAAACCCACGTATTTTGAAAAACGTTTCAGAGTCCAACAGCTACAACAACCAGAATTTCCCCTCTTCTAATTTCCAGCCCAATTTTATCCATAGCCAATGTATACCCATTTATTCTTAGCCAGTGGTAGGTCTCAGATTAAATAGTTGTTGCTTTTCTCAGGGATTGGCTTCCCTAATGAATTAATTAATAGACAGCTTTCGTTTTGCAAGGGGGTAAGCAGACTAGGCTCCTTCTAGTCTCTGCTGCTATCAAAGCTTTCCTTTTCACCAGCTAGAATGCATTTTCCCTGAAAACTGGTGACCGGACCTGTATGTTTTCAGGTATTTAAATTTCAGAGGATGTGTTGCTTACATCTTTAGCAATGTTAATGATCTTTCTTTCTCTTTAGTGGAAATACCTATGTTCTGAGGTGACATTTACCTGTTCCATAGTTGCTGTCGTGTTGGTCTCTTCTGGCCTTCCTATGATGGAAGCTGTAGTCTCTTTCCAGCAGATTATTTCTGATCTGTTCTTTCGAAAAGGATGAATTATGAATGTCAAACTGGAACACAGGTGTTCTTGAGCTCCTAGGTTTGGCTGTAGCATTGACCACGCTGACGGCCTCAGGAAAGTCTGTGTGCTCCCTTTCCCAGCCCAACATCCCTGTGGGCAGAGCCAAGATTTGTGTTTCTTAAGGCTGTTGAGACTGGCTGGTATTTGCGTAGAACCGCGAAAATGCTGAGCTCTGAATGTTATTCCTGAATTTGCTTTTAATGTTACTGGAAGGACGAGGCTAAAGTAGAAAGTACAAAACCACCATAACAAAAAATAGCACTGCAGATTGTGTTGTAAAAGTTGGTTTATTGTTCCATGACTCCTGCAAATAAAAACACATTTTCCTAACAGCTAAACTTTCCCCGAAGCTTGAAAAATGCAACTTCGTTTTTTTTTCTGACTAACAGTAAAAATAACATTTTTTTGCGGGCTCAGTCCGTTGACCAGTGCGAGACGTTCTCCAGTTTGTTGTGCCATCGCTCTTGTGGCAGTGTGGTGCTGTTGGGGATTGTTGGTAAAACGGGCAGATGTGGAATCTACACAGAGCTTTAAATAATGTAGAACTTTCCCTCCACTGCAGCATTTTTAAATACTGCTGGGCTCTCTTCTTGCAGCGCTGCTTCATTTCTTGAATTCCATGTTGTAACTTAAATCTAAATTAGTGTGTCAGCTTATGAAGGCAATACTGGCAAAAGGTTTTTCTTTTCTAATACCTCGGTCTTAATGACCGGGGAGACTTGTGGCTGTGAAAAAAGCTTCGTTACTGAACAAGCAGGGGTCTCGCTGTGTTTGCGTTTTTCTACTTAATCAGAATCATCAGGAATCAAATGATGGTCTTTAAGAACAATAGGCCTCAAAGCTACGCACGAGTTTAAGTAAATATTTTCATGATGAGCTAATTTGAATGAAAAATAAAAGTATCTTTAAAACAATAATGTTTGCAAGACATCAGATTAATTCTTACTTTTATGATCCCAGCACATAAATGTTATGGAAGCTAGCGAGGATGGCTGCAGGGAAGAGAATCTTGTCTCCACTTAAGCTTGTTATATTTGGGTATTCTTCAAATTCCTGCACTGTTTTACAGCATGAATAAACTCTGGACACCTTTTGATGCTTTTTTGCTTAAATTCTGAGTAATTTTAATAATTAGGTGGCACCTTTTCCTTTTTTTGAGGAATCCAAAGTCACGAAGCAGAGGAATTTTGTTTTGTTGACTGCCGAAATGCTGATACTCCAGGGCTTTGCAGCGATTCATAAAGTGCTACATAGCAAGTTAAAAATGCAGTCAATGCTCCGAGCAATTAAAATGTCAGGAAGAATAAAAGGAGCAGAGTTTAATTATCTAAATTAGTTTGCTTAAGATACCAGGGTTATAGCTACACTTGCAAAACGCGCTATGAAATACGTAATAGTTATTGTTGGGTAGGAGACCTGTTTTTCACCTGCAGGTCCCTCTGCGGATGCTTACGACGGCAGCACACGCTGTATGAGGGGTGAGGCTTTTTGATTTGAAGACTCGCGTGTGAAAAGGTCCCTCATGGCACGGGTCCTTGCTTACTCTCCATCATTCTCAGTGTTTCCTTAGCATCTCCTCTCCTTAGCCCGCTCCTCGAGTAACGTGAGGCCTGGCTGTTGGGTAGTACGTCCTTTGAAACAGCACTAGCAATTAATTCGCTCCCTCTCGTTTGACAGAGGTTCGGATCGCTGCGGTTGAAGCCCTCTGTATGTTGGCTCAGTCCTCACCTGCTTTTGCGGAGAAGTGCTTGGATTTTTTGGTCGACATGTTTAACGATGAAATCGAGGAGGTGAGATTGCAGTCAATACACACGATGAGAAAAATTTCCAACAACATCACGCTGCGGGAAGACCAGCTGGATACTGTGTTAACTGTCTTGGAGGTAAGAAATTCTGCAGGGAGGGAAAAATTGCATTTCTGCTTCCTTTGAGGTGTTACAATTACGTGATGCTAATCACTCCCTTCCTGTGAGGTGAAGCTGTTCCTGAGATGAAACTGTTCACCTTTTTTATTGGTTTTTTTGCTCTTTGAACACCTCCAAAGATCTGGTAGCTTGTCATCTCTAGGACAACAGAATGCTTTTGAAATTGGTGAATTTCAGATAAGAACTCTTCCCTGGATCACCATGCTGTTGCCTCTGGTGTGTTTCCATCTGTCTTGTTTTGTGGTCTGCACCACTCAGTGTTGAATACGACTTCATTTTCTTTCTGTTTCCTCTGTGCAACTGCTTTGGCTACACCTTTGCTCACCAAGCAGGGACAGGGCACGGGCTTGAGACCTCTCTTCTGACTGTTGAGAAGGTTTGTTGGTGTGCTCCGCAGTGTAGATGTGGCCTTTCCCACCCAGCCAGTGCTCAGCCAGGATCCAGGGATCAGCGTGGCTCGACTGCTGTTCCCGGTGGATGGGTCTGATCCGGGAAGGGGACGAGATTTCAGCTGCATGAACAGTGCTGGGCCGAACTGCTTCCCCTCAAACCTGTTTCGTTTGCTGAGCTGTAGCCCTTACGACGTGTTTTTCTGATGCTGCCGCGTGTGGTAGGCAAATCTCGTGTTTCTTTTGGGCGGTCTCCCAGCCTCGGGCGGTGCTGCAAATCCACTGCTTCTGGCTTTTCACCTGCTCTTTGCTCAACCCAGGGCAACAGCGACTTCTTTCAGTCGTGCCCCAGGAAGAAGCAAGCTCACCAACCTATTTTGTCAGTGGAACGTAATCTGGATTTGCAAACACAGCAATTCATTTTGGGCACCTCAGATTTTTATGTAGATTTATGTTTGTTCGAGCTGGGGGCTTGTGCATCAAGGCATAAAAACATCGTAGTTAGACTGGGGTTCTGTCTTAACACTTCCTTGCTGACTTATGTATGAGAAGTCATACATGTATTATGGTTTATAAAAACATCGTAGTTAGACTGGGGCTCTGTCTTACACTTTCTTGCTGAGTTCTGTATGAGAAGTCATACATGTATTATGGTTTATATTTTCATAATTATTGTCAGGTATTAGGATAGCGAAAGTGTGAGAATGATTAACATTTTAATGGGTGGGTTTGATTCTGAAAGGTGCTTGCTTGCATTCTGTAAAATCTATCTTCCAATATCAGAATAAAGGATTTGGAAAAATAGCATCAACTTTGGTGCCTAAATTTGTTCCGAGAGCATAAATATGGAACAGTTGGGGACTGGGGAAGGGGTAACTTCTGTTTTCATCCAACTGCTTTGACTTTATCTGAATAACTCTGCCAGCTACTCCCTGCTATTCTCACCAGGCTTTGCATTCTGCTTTTCCTGTTGTTCTTGTCCTCTGTTTCTGCTGAGTTGTGCTCCTCTCTTCGTAGTCTTCTGCCTCGCTTTTCTCTGTACTGCCCTTCCAGTGCTCTGTGCAACTCACCTGGAGTATTTTATGTCCGTGGTTGTTTCATTCCAGTCCTTAGAATATGTCTTGCTCTTTTGGTCATAGTCTGCCTTCCACCACCAAAATAAGGAGCAGCTGAGAAGCCCTGCTGGGCTTTCCTCCTTCGATCGTTTGTGTGTGTTGGCCATCATTTAAGAGCCTTTACAAGAAGACTGCTCTGTTGTGTAAGACAGTGATGAATGAGCTGTTGATACTTAGCAAATTATAATTTTAAAAAAAACCCCAACATCTACCATTGAAACGCATCCACTTCTTGTATCCTGTCAAATTTTCACATCTATCCAGCAGTACCACACAAATGCTGATAGCAAGGAAGTATAATGCATTGATATGGAACGGCAAGGTGGGTTTTGGCGGAAGGAATGTAATTAATTAAGTTGGAGTTCAGCCACAGCACTGCTGAAAATACTGCTTGGAGACTGCATAAGCTCCTCTGTACAACGCCGCCCTGGCCTAAAAAATCAAATGGGTGCAATGTGACTTCAGAAGCGGTACACTGGGGATCCCATACGATCGTAACAAAGTTCTTGGCTGAACTTGTAAGAGTGTGGTGGGGGTGTTTTTTTTATTGTCCATCTGTAAACCCATAGTTAGGTCCAGTTCTTTTATCCTGTAGATGATTGCTCTTAATGCCAGGCATTGACGTGTCCTCGACACTTCCGCAGACCTTCTGGAGGCTGGTGACTGGGTTAAAGGCTTGTGGAGCTGAGCTTCATGTGTGGAATCATAGAATGGTTTGGGTTGGAAGGGACCTTAAAGATCATCTGGTTCCAACCCCCCTGCCAGGAGCAGGGACATCTTCCACCAGACCAGGTTGCTCAGAGCTCCATCCAACCTGGCCTTGAACACTGCCAGGGAGGGG